TATCATCCTTCTGTTTAGTTCGCTTGTTTGATTATTATCTCTCGATACACGAACCTCATGGCCAAGATATATGGCTGCGATGCGAACCAACAGAGATGAGTACTTTAAGAACAATAGTGGAAAAGACAAGAAGAGATAGAGTAAGGAACAAAACTGTAAAAGAATTTTGTGGACTCGGAGATGTCATGAGATTTGCTAGGGGAAATATAAAAAAATTTAATGAGTACTTCCAAAGAATGGAAGAAACCTGGCTGATTAAGACAGCAAGAGACCAAAGATTAGCTAGAAAGAGATCCTGGGAGACCAGGAAGTTCGATTTCCAGCTCTAATCAAACACCATGAAAGATGCGTAAAAAACAGGTTACAACCTGAAGAAAAGAAGAAGAATAATAAGATCTTAAACGAACTACTTAATTTTCAATTGGATATCAACAATCTCATGGATCTTGGAATCTTGGATTTGATGGAAAAGAATCAAACAACAAGAATTAATGAAGCACAAAAACTGAATTTAGTCATTAATATTAGACTGATACTCAATTCAGGACATTCAAAGTTGTTTTTCAAGCATTAAAGAAATCGTTAAATACTTTCGAAAAGTATTACGTAAAGGAGAATGGTCGGTAGTGAAAATATAAACATTTCCGAAATATATGTACACTTAAAGCTAATAACACCAGGAATGTGTATAAATTTGTTAGACAGTTAAGACAAAGGCACAAATCGCACGTAGCTCTATGCTGAGATGGAACAGGAAAAATAATATATGATAGTGAAATGAATTACATTTGGAAAAATTATTTCCAAAACCTGTTAAGCATAGAAACTGATTTGGAAATAGACAGCAGTCCGTCACACCAAAGAAAGGATAGTGTCATGGAACCTATATAAATTAGTGAGGTTCAAAACGCAATTACTGCGTCAAAACATGGAAAGGCATCAGGGATTAATGACATACCATCGAAAGTATTCAAGATAGAAGTATTCATTATCACCAATATTGATGTTAGAGCTTGGAACAAGATTTGTCCTAAATTTTGTTGATATTTAACCCGACGCAGTTGCATACTTCAGCATCAGTTTCATCTCTCCAAGACTATCCGAAATAAGGACTATATCGTCCGCGTAGCGCAAATTACTTAGGTATTGCCATCAATGTTTATACCTTTTTGGGTCCAATCCAGTTGTTTAAATGCACTCTCCAGGACTGTGATGAACAATTTGGGTTCAACATTATATAGCCTTGTCTTAACCCACGCCCAATGAGTATTCGGTCAGTACTTTCATGCAATTTTACCGTCATTGTAGCATTTTTGTAAATGTAATAAATAAGTTTGGTGTATCGATAATGCATTCTTGAAGTACTTGCAAAACTGCCATCAACTCAATTTAAATCAAATTTTATAAATACCTCTAAATACCCATCTTGGGTAAATACCTTCGGGTATATATCCAGGGAATTTTCCCTTGAAAATAAATACCCGGGTATTTAACAACACTGGCTATATTTGATATATCAGCACGAAATCGTCACTTTTTCATTATGTATTGTCCATTTTAGTATTGAAATTATATTAATTGAAGCATAATAGACAACACAATTGGAATGCAGTTTTCATATTTTCTAATATTGCTCGACATTGATGCAGCTGAGAACAAAAGTGTTGCAGAGTAATGTGTAAATGGTAAAATTATGTAAATAAAAAACAATCAAAAGATAAAGCAACCATTACTAATAATAACATTCAACGCGAGCTAAAAATAAGGAAAAACATAAAAATAGAGAAAATTTTAACAACATTTAAGAACGAATAATTCAAGAAAGTACTGATGAAAGAAGAGATGATTCCAGATTTCGAAAATTAAAAGTATAACAGACGTGGCTATTGCTCCTGAAGATGACTAAAAAGAATTCGTCGAAACCGGTAGAGCCGAAAATAAAAGATACCCTTCTGAAAAGCAAAGTTTTTTATTTACATAATCTAACAGGATGGGAAGTAATAATATTAATAAATGGTAAAATTTGCTACAACTTTTGATCTAAACACTTTTCTGTATCATGCTCGGAATACCGTTTTTTTTCCATTAGCAACTTGTGAAACTACGAATTCTTCCAATTTTCAAATATAGCTCGACATTGATGCAGCTGAGAGTAAAAGTGTTACAGAGCAATGTGTAAAGAGTAAAATTTGCTACAACTTTTGATGTAAAAGTTTTTCTGTATCATGCTTGGAATACCGTTTTTTTCCATTAGCAACTTGTGAAACTACGAATTCTTCCAATTTTCAAATATAGCTCGACATTGATGCAGCTGAGAGCAAAAGTGTTACAGAGCAATGTGTAAAGAGTAAAATTTGCTACAACTTTTGATGTAAAAGTTTTTCTGTATCATGCTCGGAATACCGTTTTTTTTCCATTAGCAACTTGTGAAACTACGAATTCTTCCAATTTTCAAATATAGCTCGACATTGATGCAGCTGAGAGCAAAAGTGTTACAGAGCAATGTGTAAAGAGTAAAATTTGCTACAACTTTTGATGTAAAAGTTTTTCTGTATCATGCTCGGAATACCGTTTTTTTTCCATTAGCAACTTGTGAAACTACGAATTCTTCCAATTTTCAAATATAGCTCGACATTGATGCAGCTGAGAGCAAAAGTGTTACAGAGCAATGTGTAAAGAGTAAAATTTGCTACAACTTTTGATGTAAAAGTTTTTCTGTATCATGCTCGGAATACCGTTTTTTTTCCATTAGCAACTTGTGAAACTACGAATTCTTCCAATTTTCAAATATAGCTCGACATTGATGCAGCTGAGAGCAAAAGTGTTACAGAGTAATGTGTAAAGAGTAAAATTTGCTACAACTTTTGATGTAAAAGTTTTTCTGTATCATGCTCGGAATACCGTTTTCTTTCCATTAGCAACTTGTGAAACTATGAATTCTTCCAATTTTCAAATATAGCTCGACATTGATGCAGCTGAGAGCAAAAGTGTTACAGAGCAATGTGTAAAGGGTAAAATTTGCTACAACTTTTGATGTAAAAGTTTTTCTGTATCATGCTCGGAATACCGTTTTTTTTCTATTAGCAACTTGTGACTACGAATTCTTCCAATTTTCATATTTTCGAGTATTTCTCTACATTGATACATCTGAAAGCAAAAGTGTTACAGAGCAATCTGTAAAAGTAAACTAGTTTTATTCTAAAAGTTTTTCTATATCATCAAATACTAAAATGATATTTTCATCACATAAATAAAATTTAGATGTGGAATACTAGAATATTTGCGAATATGTCACAAATATAATCTTAGAAAACTTATCATAGAAGATACAAATTTTAATAAATATTTAACACAACCAGTAAACATTTTTTTTATTTGCAACATATTCGTGTTAAAAACCGTATAGCTTACAACCTTGAAGCATAAATTATTTACTATAGCATAACACAAATAACATTCATCGCATGATAATTTTGACCTCTTGAAAATCCAAAAATAAAAAACAGTTGTTATTTGGCATGGAGACAAACTCCATTGCATTTTCATCGTTCAAAACCAATAACTGTTAGACTCATGTAAAATTTAAAAAAAAAATGTATCTAACCCATTTTTTTGACGGTTAAATGTATTTGAAGTCCATTAGCATGTTAAAAATAAATTGGTCAATCAACGATTTGCGTAGATCGAAAGGTCGCACGTAAAGTTATAAATACCAGGATCGTATTGAAAAATTTCCATAACTGACGTGCGCTAATAGCAGTTGTCCCCAATACGTAAAAAAAAATAGGGGGAACGTTAAATTGAAGTATAAACGAGGTCGTTAGAGAGTATTGTTGATAAGGGATACGTGTGGTTGTGTATGGGTGTTTGTATTGTAATAATATATTACCAGACGTTCAATAAGTTCCGTACGGGCGACGGATGTTTTTAAAATAACCAACAAAATACCGCATCGTCCTTGAATCTATTTTCAAACAAATGTTACTATTGCGTTCATGTGAAACTGACAAATTACTTTCAAATCGTGAAAAAAAAAAGATGAGTTTCAAAAGAACCGTGCGCAATCGGGAAAATAGAAATTGAAAGTAATAATGAATGCGGTAACGCTAATTGACATCTCTTTTAATGAACTAAGTACATAAATTTCACTAGTAGTAGTTTTGTGACTACGTGCATGCGATGTTTTCGAAGAAGAAAAAAGTATCAATCGTGAGTTGAAAGTGAGTTCGCTAGAAATCTCCGCTCGGCAGAAAATGGCAGTAAATCTCTGTGATTTTAGTGTGATAACTAATGACAGTGTCAACGGGAGATTTATAACCCTATTTAAGTAATTTGTTTGTTATGCCACAAACGAAACGTTTGTAAATGTTAATTTATTCTAAAACCAATTTTATCTTTTTCAATACTTAATTATCTGAGTACACGTGTTTATGTCAACTTTTTAAGCACTTATTGTTGGTTGAAACTTAATGATGTTAGGATTAGAATCTTACAAAGCAGCTTTTAGATTATAATTTTTGAAAGATTTAGTAAATTGATTCGAATAGGTGGAAAACTGCAGGTACAACCACAAAGGTGATGGATAAATTCAAAAATAGATCGCAACAATAAACAGTCTGGTCAGCGTTCCCTGAATTACTTGTTGCTTACATGTTAAAGTAAAATATTTTCAAAGCCTCAATCTAACAACTATTCACAATTGTTTCTATCGATAAAAAAATCCAATGTGTGTCATCGAGAAAACATTTCTATTGTTTGAATTATTGGTGATAAACGAATTAATCAGTTCATTCACATTTTCAATTTTTCCCTTAACCTCATCTTTTATAGTCGTTAAACTTGCATATTGTTTTTGGTTGCCATTGCGTTGCTATATTTAGACTTCGTCGAATGTATATCGAAAGATAAAACGAAGTTTAAGAACGTTGTTGATAAGTGAAGAAGTAATTAGTGAGTTTTATATCATAATAAATTAATTATCCAAATTATTAGGTACTTACGTAGTCAAAATCCTCTTCTTGAGATTTACCGTTAAAACAACACGAAAAACACCCCATTTTACAATAATAATTATAATTGTGTAAAAAAAATAAGTCTTAACACTAACTTAGTTTACAACTAACTGATCACAGTTGCAAAATATTTTGCGTTAGTCTCACTAAACGACGACGGACGACCGCTGTCCGGGCGGCAAACCGGGCTTTTTGAGTGCTAATCATAAGACTAAACGAACCTCCGATAAAGAGCCAGGCTTGTATATGCGAGTTTCGTTGTTTGGAAACTTATTATCGGCGTAGAGAACTAACTGCTGGTCGAGTTGCATTATCAGGAAAACGAAGCCGCCGCCGGCGTCGGATTTATCAACAACAAGCGATTATTAGCAATGAACTGGCGTACCGGAGCTCCCTGTTTTAACACACGGAGGTGGCATATACATTTGCGCGTGATGCGTATTGGTGACCTCGACTAAAATAGTTGACGGATTTATTCGTGATTAATTAATATTTTCTTCAAACACTTCTTATGTTTACATCTTAACCTATATTATAATATTAATTAAAGAATTAAGTAGATGGTACCATCTGTACAAGGCAAATCCCTTCATTAGAGTAAATCTTGGTAGTAATTACCCAAGTAATATTCATAAAAATGATTAAAACTATAAATATAAAATAAGATTATAATATATTACAAAGTATTTGCACTTGTCAATTTTCATCCATCCAATTAAACTTACCAATCTCAACCATAGAATTAACACACGCGTTAACGATAATAACCATCTTCCGTTGGTTGATGTAATTACTTGTGATTTTAATTGGTTACATTTATGCGACCGGTAATTTAAAATACCACAAGCTGTGACGTTTCTTCTTTTCTCATTACCTTAATGAATATTTTAGTTAAATGGCTACTATATACTTACCAGAACACAATTTCCTTTTAACACTCTTGTTTACAAATAATAGAAAATCCTTATTAGCAAGTGACTAAGCTTAAGCTAAGAAACGGGTATTGTCACTGCGACATTTGGCAAACGCGAATTATATTCTTTAAAGATCTCTACCTCTATCTTCACTTATGCTTATGCAACGTTATTAAATGGTCGTTAACGAGAAGTTGGATGATAACGGTGAAAGTTATAAAAGGTGTCGATTCAGCTGATTATTTGAATTTCCCGGAGAAAAACGCAAGACGGTTTCTAATCTCGTTACTAATTTGCTTGTGCATTCAGAATCGTTTCGTAAAATGTTAATTACCAAACGTTAACAGCTGAGTACTAGAAAGTCAAGTTTAGTTGTGTTATTACGTATGAGTACAATGCACTGATTAATATTTAGTTTAGATAAGCAGATGGTGATTGTATTCAACTTTGTGTAAACTTTCTTGAAAATATGACTGCATTTGGAAAGTAAAGATTTTTTTAAATCGAGGTTTTAAGAGACATGTCTTTTTTTTCTATTAAAATTAATTAATTTCCTGCCGTTTAAAACCAAAATAATCGTGTAACAAAATTTAATATTACTTTCTCTGGTGTGATTAATTGATTGCTTTCCGTACTTATGTGAAAAGATTAATTAAGAATTCATCGATTTAATATTAGCCGTGAAATTAAATTTGATGGTTGTCTCTTTATCTAAACACAAAAAGAAGAGGCGAATAGAAACTAACTTACAGAATTCACTTAATTCACTTACAGAATTAATCATTTGAATAGTTTTATGATTACTTTAATTTATATTAAAAAAATCTTTTGACGACGCTCACCGATGAACCTCAACTAAATATAAAAGCTTCATATTGTGCTAAAAGGGACAAAAAGACTTGGAGTGCAAAATGTTAACTCTTTTGGCGGTTTAGGTTCTAAAGCCTGGGACATAAACGACCTTGACTCAAGCAGCTTAGTTTAACAGTTAAATTGTTAGTTTCAACAGTTTAAATTGTAAATCTTGAGCCGCACATGACCTCTGCTATCAATTCTTCAACAGCTTACAATTTAAATAGTATCTACAATTGATTTTATAAAAATATTTATTTAATTTCATTATCCACTAATAGAGGGCGTTTAAATAACTGTCAAATCTAAAATGTCAAAGTTGATGGATCAATTTCATCTGCATTTTTAAAAGAAAATTGCTTCTTTCTACACCTTAAAAACATTATTTGATTTCTATATACTAAATCTTCTAATTATTTTAAAATTAAATTTGTCGTATAGATTTTGATATGTTTTTTCGCATAAAATTGTAAGAAATTTATCGATAATATTAAAAAATTAAACATACCTCTTGACTGTTCTTAATTTCCACAGGCACATCTTCGGTAATTGGCATTCTAAAAAATATTTTATCATACTTTAACCGAAATATTCACTTCGAGACCCGTACGATTACTGAACACAATTTATCACATAAGGCTTCTTATTTGTACTTTATTTTGCACTATTTGTAACGGAATTACATTGTAAATCCTATAATCGCGGAATTAAATTGGATTTTAATAAAGGTTTTACGTTTTTCATTTAACCGGGTTGTATGTAAACAACGCCACATTATAACTGTCGAATTAGCGCCATCTATTATTGAAATAGAGAAACGTACATAAGATTTCTATACTTATTAAAATATTTGTAAATTTTTAATAATTAAAAAATATCTGCAATATGATTAATTAAAACTTAATTTAGTTTAATAATGTTTATTGTTTTAGTTAATTATTATCTAATTGTCAAATAGGTTGTCTATACATAACCTCTTCAGATAAGAAGGCTACTTTCACAATGGCCATCATCGCATTCGATTTAACCTAAAAATTTAAAGTTTTTAAAATCTTTCACCAACAACCAAAAATAAAATTATTCATCAACCCTATTAATATGTGGTTATATAAGAAAATGACCTCTGACGAAATTCAACATTTGCCAGGTAAGGTATACATTTTTTCCTGAGGTGTCCTCAGTGTATGTGTACACTTTTAATACTTACCTTAGTGATTATTATCTATCTATAGGTGACAATGTACTGCACTTGATTAGACCGTGATGTCTAACTACACAATAGTACAATATTCAAAGTTATTTATTACTTCAACTGCAACATCAGGGTGATATTCAAAACAAATATGGGGCTCAAGAATATTATTCAGGGTTTGTTCAAACGAAATTATAGTAATGTTGTTAAAATTACGATTAAGGACGCTTTTGGAAAATATTTATTGTTGACTAACACTGGAACTTGTGGAGTATTAATGCTTATTGGTGATATCGCACAACAAGAAATTGAATACCAAAGGCATATGTTACCTGAAAGATACGATTGGACTAGACTGTGTAAGTAGTTTTTTCTTTTATTAAATATGATAAGATAATTAAGGTATTTGTATTAGTTTTTTTGTGTTAAGCCCTGCCCATTTTCTAATTTTAAAGTTGTACACTTATTGAGTGTAAAATATTTAATTTAAGGGCGAATGACATTGGTTGGATTTGGTTATGGTCCACTACATCATTTTTTTTATACCGGAATAGCTAAAATATGGCCTCAAAAAACGTTACAAACAGTTGGAAAAAAACTTTTAGCTGATCAATTCATAATGAGCCCTGTTTGTATTAGTTTTCTTTTTTATGGTGTGGGTTTGTTAGAAGGAAATACTTTCAGGGAATGTGCCACCGAGTTACAACAAAAATTTCTTGAAGTTTACACGGTAAGTATAATTTTTTCTTGTGATATTGAATAAAGAATAAATTTTCGAATTAGGTTGATTGGTGCGTTTGGCCGCCAGTGCAATTCGTAAATTTCTATTTCCTCCCACTCAAATATCAGGTTCTTTATATAAATACAGTAACAATGCTGTATAACATCTTTTTGTCATATATGAAACATAGAGAAATAGCACAAAGAAATTTAGAAATTTACGAAAATGAAAAGGGGAGAAAAACGGAATAAATCTAGTCAGTATTATCGAAGTGATTATATAGATAGATTAAATTAATTAACAATAATAGCTACATACAGAATGTTATTAATCTTATAAATTTATTTATTTTAAATAAAGCAAGTTTAAAACATTTACATTAATTTGAATTAGCAAAATTTGATACTCCTATAAAATATGACACGTGATTATTTTAATACAATTAAAAAATTGTCCACTTTCTCAGTGTGATAAATACAAAAATAACATAAAATATACGAATGGAACTAAATACATAATTTTTTATATTATTTTTGATTTAATTGAGGCTTTTGAGTCTTCCAGAACGAGCATCAGTAATCGCACCCCAAAGTTCTATTATTAAATCATCCGTGAATCCGAATTCTTCTAAATCGGAATTATCGACAGCCTCTGCAAAATCCATTGAGTTTTCTTTACCCACTGCTTTATCCCAAATCTGCGTTGCTAATTCAGAGTCGTTAATACCCAAGAAACTTTCTAAAATGTTGTTTATTTTTTCTACACCAATGTCCATTATATCATCCTGAAATTAAAAATGTAATTAATAAAGTTTTGATTAATAAAGCAAAATTAATTACCTTAACTTCGATTTCTGCAACTCCACCGGCTTTAAACCTAAGAGTTTCTTTCCCGGATCCATAAGCTTTTTTAACATTTTTCGATGTTTTTGGAGCTATACTGTTAAAGCCACTCTTCAACGGTTCAACTAGCCTAATTGTAAATGTTGATCCTTTCGGGATTTCTTTTAAAATTTTTGCTACTTCAAAATGTCTCTTTCCTACCATGTTTTCTCCATTTAATTTTTCTATGTGATCGCCAACCTAAACAGAAATTTAACTGTATTATCAATCATTTTTATGTTTTAATTTAATTCACTTAATTCCAATATAATCAAAGATAAACCAAGAAAAAAGTCTTATTTACCTGTATATGAGGAATATTTCCGATAATAGATCCCTCTTTAATCCGTTTGATAAACGCATATCCAGCTCCATTATCCGTAATTGTCAAACCGAGTGCGTCTTCAGTTTTGATGAGTTCCACCTCCTTCGGTCGCCCTGGAAGAAAGTACCTGACTTGTAACATGCTCAGAACGCACACTTTTTCTTATTATCATTATAGTCACGTGGGTACTTGGTCGTCTCTTATCTCCCTCTCCACGCATATCAACGTTTAATTAATAGGTTTTTATAAGAAGCCCCCGAGAGATAACGTACGCGTTATCGAAATGTTTGTTCAAAGAATAACGATGAGTAACTTTTCTATCTTGTAATAATTGTTTTGGTATTTTCAAGACAAACGATAAATTTAAGTGGATCATATTTTGCTTTGGTTTATCTCTTTGTTTAGCTGAACAAAATATCTTATTATCTATTCCCCGTTGTTTTTTTGAAAACAATTTATAAAAAGTGACAGCAAATTAATTTTTTTAACAACATCGTCACGTAATTACTAAAAATTGAACCTAATCAACCTTGAATATTCCATCGTCGTTCTCGAAAAGGTTGTAAAGCCGAAAGGTTCGGCCGTTTTGGGAGGTGTGGTTCGATCGTACTGGTCAAGCGAGTTCATCGCATTCTTCATCCTCTAGCAGACGTTCCACTTCGTCTGGCGAAGAGCGTGACCTGCTCTCCTCCAATTCCTAAGTTTTTTCTTTTTATCTTGCTTGTACGTCGGTCTCCCGCACGCACGCAAAAAAGCCTCACGTTCCAGTACAAAAGGAATATTCCACGAATGATTCGACATGATTGTCGCAACACCATAACGATTTCGTCATTTGCGAATCGTACTACACGATGTGACACGCCAACTCGTATCTCCGTTCGGAATCGAAAATTGCTATCTCACCATTAACAATTTTCTACGCGTGATGAAAACGGAATTGTGCCTGAATTAGAATTTTGAAAAAGAATAAGGGGTGAAATTTCTAAAGATTCTTTTAGAAGTGAAACTATTCCAACGTTCGACCGAATTCTCTTTTTAGTAGTACATTCACTATTATGTAACAATGGGTAATCTTAGTACTACTAATAAATTGCAAAACCAGTGTTTAATTTAAACAAAAAGATGATTGCATAAGTGTTTGGTTTCAATAAGATAAAAGGAGTTAATAGTAAATGTATTCTTTAAAGATATTCTTTTTTTTATTTTTTTGAACTTTGACATTTTATGCTTTACTTTCTATTTTCTGCATCATATCTATTGTTATGTCAAAATTTGTGGAGAGGGTCCTAGAAACAACTTTGTGTAGATTTTAAATAAAAAATCGAATCAAAATGGATAAAAATGGACTAAAGAACAAAACACGAATGGAATTGATCAGGGCACGTGACCTGTTGCAAGGATGAACTAAGAAACTGCTTGAGTGGAGCCCGAGATTGGAAAAGAACAGTATCAAAAGAATTAAAACAAATTGCGTGCAAGATAGAGAATTGGACAAAAATGAGGGAAGCCTATGTACAGGGTGTCCAAATTTCGATGAGTTTGCAGGGTATCTCAGTTATTATGAAAGATAGAAAGTTGCGGTTTTCGCGAACCTGAGCTACTTTTTTGTGAAACTTACAATGCCGCAAACCAAATTTTCATAGACCTCTTCGTTTTTGATATACAGGGAGTTTTTCAAAATTTACGATTTTCAGACACCCCCCGTATCTCGGCTATCCGGAAACTTAGTAAAAAAGTAAACACGGGTTATAATAGATTTTTTCACGTAGAATCCAATGCTGCACGTAGAATTTTTCTAGTCATCACGGTTTTTGAGTTATAAACACAACTTAGGTTTTTTTAAATGGAACCACCTATATTTTATTTTTTTATTGAACTAGAATTTTTTCAAGCTTTTCAATGATATATAATACTCTATACTTACCTTTATAATTAACCTCGAAATTAAAAAAAACCACATTATTTTATAAGTAGGCTATGATAAATTAAGTGATCGCGTTGCTAGGATACCAGAATAAACAAAGAATTTTGAAAATACTATAATATTAATTATTGACTTATTAAAAAAATGTATCTATTAAATTTTGTTTGCTAAAAACGAAAAATTATTAAAAACTAAACATTATGCAAATATGGCTTCAAGTTACAAAAATTGTTCAAAGTTGTTACCATTTTGATGCACACATTGTTCATAAAGTTTAGTAATGCGTTTAATTGCATTAGAATAGTTATGGGATGTTGCTGTAAATGTGAAAAAGCATCAGTTACAGCAATTTTCAATTCCAATTTTGTTCGATTCTGGGTACTATACCCGATTCTCCCGATTCTTGATATATCCCCATAAAAAGAAGTCCAAAATATATAAATCAGGAGATCTTGCTGGCCATCGCGTTGGACCATGTGTGCCTATCCACCTACCAGGAAATTCTGCAGTTAGGTAGCGACTCACTAACTGCGCATTATGAGCGGGAGCTCCGTCCTGCTGAAAATAAATATTATTTAGCCGAATAAGAGGATGGCCTCTTGCAAGATGGCCAAATAGCGATTAGCGCAAAGGTTTCCTTCAAATATTTTGTAAACAATTCGTGGCCCAATAATAAAACATGCCACGCTAAAACCAAATTTTCCTTGACGCTCCCGCTCAATTACAATATGTTGGTTTTCTTGATGCCAATGCCTGTTATTATGACGATTATAGATTCCTGTGCTGGTAAAATATGACTCATCAGACCATATAATAGAGGAACTAAATTCAATATTATTTTGTGCATGGTTCAAATACCAGTTACAGAATTCCAAACGTCGTTCAGCATCTCCCGGCTGTAAGTGGTGAACTATTTGTTCTTTGTAGGGTTTATATTTATACTTTTTTAGAATCGCACAGGCTGTCGATTTTTTAATTCCAACTTGACATTCAATTTCCCTACATGATGTTTTAGGCGCGGCTTCCACACATCCTAACACGGTAATTTCAATGATATTCCGATTTTCTTTATTATATTTTTTTGGCCTGGGCATCAAAAAACTTCCATAATTGATCAAATTACGCTTTATTCGCAAAAAAATTTTTGAATTTGGTTGCCCTCTTTCTGGATATCTGAAGTGAACCAATCTGCTAATAAAATGTTATTGCTGATATATGTTGCATTCTACCTATTTATCTATAATTCAGCAGCTTGATTAACATTTTCATTTGCATGAATGTAACATGCTAGCATGTCATATTTTTCATAATTTTCATAGCGCTCCATTAAGTTAAGTTAATTAAAGGTAATTAAGTAACACACGACTTATTGTTAGCAGCTTGTTAGCAGCTGTTATAGCTTTACGCCCTATTCATAGATCTAAAGGCAGCTTTTGATAAGGTGAACAGAGGGAAGTTATGGGAGGAGATGAGGAGGAGAGGGATTACTTGTGGGACAATAAACAGGGTGAGGGAGATATACGCAGAGACGATAGCTAGGGTAAAGGTGGGGGACGAGTTAACGGATAGGTTCTGGACAACGAGGGGTTTGAGGCAGGGATGTCCACTTAGTCCCGCTCTGTTTGCCTTGTATACCGCAGACATGGAAGACAGATTGACCGGTGGGCAGATGGGAGGTGTGGTTGTAGGGAGGAGGAAGGTGCATTCACTGGCTTACGCGGACGATTTGGTGGTAGTGGCGAGAGAGGCGAAGGAGATGAAGGCGATGATGCGGAGTTTGGAGAGTTATTTTAGGGGGAAGGCTCTGGAGGTGAATGTAGGAAAGACAAAGGTTATGAAGTTCTGTAAAGGGGGTAGAAGGAAGAGCGAAGACTGGAGGTGGGAAGGGAAGGAGATAGAGGAGGTGAGGGAGTACACATATTTGGGGTACAGATTTAGAGAGGACAACAAGGAAGGCGCGCATGTGAGGGCAATGGCCAAGAAGGCGAATAAGGTGATGGGGCAGGTCTGGGGGTGGGGAGAGAGATTATTTGGAAGGGATATGGGAAAAAGGAAGATGATATTCGAGTGCTTGATTAGAAGTGTTATGATGTACGGGGCGGAGCTTTGGGGGTGGAAAGAGCAAGGGCTGTTGGAAGGCGTACAGGCTAGGTATTGGAGATGGGTTTTGGGGTTGGCAAAAGAGACGCCGGAGTACATAGTCAGAGAAGAGGTGAAGGTTGATAAGTTAAGAGTGGAGGCGGGTAAAAGGGCGGTACGTTTTGAGGAGAGGGTTGAAGGGAGGTCTCAATGTAAAATTTTGGGGGAGTGCTGGAAAGAGATTAAGGCAGGGAAAGGGGGTTACGGGCAACGAGGGAGGGAGGAATATTTCAGAAGGGTGGGGTACTCAGTGAAAGCGGTAGATGATAGAAGGAGGGAAGGGATTGAGATGTGGAAAGAGCTGGAGAGCAGGGATAGAGATGTACAGAGGCAAGAAAGAAGGGGGCAGATAAGGGAGAGCAGGTACAACCCTAAGTACGAGGAAATAATAACGGAGGGATTGCCGAAGTACCTGTCGGTGGAGGGGGATGAGGAGGGGAAGAGGATGGTGGCAAGATTCAGATGCGGCAATGAGGAGAGAGCGAATAGGTATTGGATGAGAGATGNTGTCGATTTTTTAATTCCAACTTGACATTCAATTTCCCTACATGATGTTTTAGGCGCGGCTTCCACACATCCTAACACGGTAATTTCATTGTTATTCCGATTTTCTTTATTATATTTTTTTGGCCTGGGCATCAAAAAACTTCCATAATTGATCAAATTACGCTTTATTCGCAAAAAAATTTTTGAATTTGGTTGCGCTCTTTCTGGATATCTGAAGTGAAACAATCTGCTAATAAAATGTTATTGCTGATAAATGTTGCATTCTACCTATTTATGTATAATTCAGCAGCTTGATTAACATTTTCATTTGCATGAATGTAACATGCTAGCATGTCATATTTTTCATAATTTTCATAGCGCTCCATTTCAAGAAAAAGATAATTAAGTTAAGTTAATTAAAGGTAATTAAGTAACACACGACTTATTGTTAGCACAAAATTCAAAATTAAGTTTGACAGTAATTAACTATATTTACTTTGTTTATTCCGGTATCCTAGCAACGCGATCACTTAATAGACAACCTAAGCCTTGACGTAACAGAGATGGGCGGAGCTTATATCGACTCCAAACATTTTCATAGCTAAGTGTGTTGCTAACGGTAAATCACCATATGCAATTTTTCAATTAGTGTTAAAATAAAATAAACTAAGTGACTTTTTATGACATTTCAAATGACATTTTTATTACGGTTTATCATTAGCAACTGTGGTTAGCAACGAAATTGTTTGGAGTCGATATAAGCTCCGCCCATCTCTGTGACGTCAGGCTAGGCAGTCTATTTATCATTGCCTACTTATAAAATAATTTATTTTCTCAATTTCGAGGTTAATTATAAAGGTAAGTATAGAGTATTATATATCATTGAAAAGCTTGAAAAAAATCCAGTTCAATAAAAAAATAAAATATAGGTGGTTCCATTAAAAAAAACCTAAGTTGTGTTTATAACTCAAAAACCGTGATGACTAGAAAAATTCTACGTGCACCATTGGATTCTCTGTGAAAAAATCTATTAGAACCCGTTTTTACTTTTTTACTAAGTTTCCGGATAGCCGAGATACGTGGGGTGTCTGAAAATCGTAAATTTTGAAACACTCCCTGTATATCAAAAACGAAGAGGGCTATGAAAATTTGGTTTGCGGCATTATAAGTTTCACAAAAAAGTAGCTCAGATTCGCGAAAACCGCAACTTTCTATCTTTCATAATAACTGAGATATCCTGCAAACCCATCGACATTTGGACACCCTGTACAATAGTGGACGTTAAAGGCTGGAGGATGGGCTTGAAATGAGACACGTTAGTAGTTATCATTTTGCAAGGTTTCCAAGTATCGTTTCTGCAAACGGAAACCGCCGTACATAGTTATTTTTCTTCAATACTTCAATCACCATGATTTTATAGGGATGAAAGCAGCGGTCCAAGTGAATGTTCCTAAATTGAACGTGAGTATTATCGCTGTATACTCTCTAGAAGAAGTTAGCATCTAGTTATATGTTGCATACTTCATATCAGAAGAATTGATAAACCTTAAGCAGAGTCGTTCCTTCATTCACCACACAATTCTTTGCTTAATTCCAATCTCATACCATATTGTGTGTAATTTATTAATATTAGTAACAATATGATGACTACACAGATTGATGTAGTATTAATGAATAATTTCTTTAAAGTTCTCATTACTCACCTTTTTTGTGTGCAAATATGAAATCTTCTAAACCAATTTGAGCTCCCAATAATTTCTTCATGTCGACTTTGTATGTATTTAACGTGCAAAATAGTACCTGAAACAATACACGTAATTGGTATTTATTATGAAACGTTAACGACTATCCCAAACGCATTGTTTTCGTTGAGGAAGAAAGTTACTATCGCTAACGGTATTAGCTCAAGAGAAAAAATGGAATCTCTTCTATTATACCTATAGTTGATCTCGAACTTGTAACTTATTTACGTTCTAAACTTAGTTTACAGATTGTAAGAGTCGTTTAAACGATCTTAGTTTAAAAGGCGTTTACATACATGTGTTAAAAATTAATTAAAACTAACGGTTTATTGAGTGCAGATAAATAAAAAAAAAAAAAAACATTAAGTACCGTCCAAACTTAACGGTTACTGGTTGATATTAGTGAGAGCTTAATTACTTAGGTTTACCGTTCATTGATAAGCTCCTTTCTCAATACTAAACGCTGCTATACATTTCCTAAAAGATGTCAGTTAGAGACACCGTTATAACACCAATTGATGCCGGTTTATCATTGTTAAATTCTTTTATTATGAAGAATAAATTTTCGCATTGCTACAAATTTGAACTTTCATTTAGAGGTCAACTCAAAGTAGTGAAAATAACACGAAAAAATTGTCGTTTTAACAAATCGATTCTGGTCGTTACATCCGGATATTCACCTACCGCACTTCCTGTTTCAAAGCGCGCACCAAATAAAAGAAGATAGATGGTAGTCCACGTTGCATAGAATAATAATTCTATATTAGCGTGCAATGTAAAGTGAATATTCTTTTTCGTCGTCGTATACATACAAAATGATAAATGGTTCAATTAACATGATTATAGAGGAGTGAGAAGGTTCTTTTCTTTAAATCAATTATTACCTCGTTAATTCTAATTTTCTTCCGGCGGTCTCCATGATCTAAGAGGTAAATGTTTGAACAACCCGTACATTCCAACGGTTGTAATTTTCCCAATGTATTCTCGAAGTCAATTACGCATAAATTATGCTAACCATAATTTAATTTCTTGCTAATGTGGCTTCATGCCACCACGTCAAAGATAGTTCTTTGAACTGCAGATGTTAATAACGTCTTATAACTTCAAAATAATTATTGAAATCGCTATAGTGGAATATATATAAATAAATCAGATGTAATAGAGATTACTTCTTTGAAAGATTTACGATAAGTAAAGATAATTAAGTATGTTTTGTGGCGATTACAAGATGCAATTTACACGCAATGGTCACTTTTATTTCTGCAGATTGCAAAAACTAGCTACTTGTATGGAAGTTCAAGGTGTTCTGCGAAACTGAGAGATAAAATATACGCATTAAAATTAACTACCTCGATCCATTACAGATAGGAATTAAAATTTATCCCGTCTTAAGATAAATTAAGTGATTTTCATTTTCATACCTTGTTAATATTATTATTAAATCGATTCCACTTAAACTGATTCTGATAGAGAAAGAAAGCAAAATAAATTTGTTGGTACCATTAAAGGTGTGATTGCCAACACCTGACCTTTGAAACGTTTTTTTATAACTAATTGGTTATTATTACAACACTAGCAAATAAAATTGATTTAATAGACCTTTGATTCTGACAAAAAAATTGTACAATTTGTTATAATGCAGAATCGTAACGATGCTGCCAATCATAAGCCTCGTTAAACTACATAATCATCTCTACGCTTTATTATCTAGCCTCATTATAAACTACATTAAGCCGATATCTCTTTAAGTTCACTTCGTATCTTTCTTGATCCATCTGTAATCTGCATTTACAACAACTGTCCCATCAGCAACGTTAGTTTTGTTATGTTGAAGTGGTCGAACTCCAAACGAAGTTTAACCAAGCTACAAAAACCTAATAATAGCCTTGCGCCGATTCAATTAAATTTAATGCCGGTTTAATATCAAGGTTATCCAACCAATCACTTACGCCTATAACAACTCGTTTCTTTCGGACTCGATTCCACTTAATAGATGCATTCATCCGTTTGTTACTTATTAAAAAAAATATATACAAAAATCCAAGTCAAGTTAGTTAAATAAAATTATTTTTAGATGGTTTTTTAAATAATTTACGAAACGAAACGATGTCACGTGAAGAGATGCACATCAGTTTACGGTACTTTGCCCCGACAATAAAATAACTACCGATAGACCACTATCCTGACTAACTGTAAAATTAAACACGCTTCACACGTGTCCATCCATACCTTCAAACGTATTCCAAACGTAATTAAATGCAGAGCGAATCAGTGTTGCGACAACGAAATCTGATGACCACTGTTAATAATCCTATTACAAATAATAAAAATTGCATAAACGCAAAATTAATATTTATTAAGCTAATTTTACAATATTAAACTATTGTTTATTACGTTTTATTTACAAGGTATCAATTAACATTCAGAACATTCCGTCTCATTGTTTTCTTTATTAGTTCCAGGTCATTGAACAACAATATTCAATTTGTTATTACAATTTCATCTGATTCAATTATTATTATTATTACTATATCAGTTACATTGCAAGTAAATAAGATATGTATTGATGAAACGATTACACAATCATCAAATAGTAGATTGTTGTTAAATGTATAGCGAGAAAGTTATAACATGGTTGCGTCATAAAACTACGATCGAAACCTTGAATCGTTGTGTTTTTCTTGTTTGTAACGCATCCATAAAGTGTAGGTGTGTGTGTGATGTCGAACGATACAATATCGTTCATTTTATATAAAAAAACAAGGTAGTTGTATTAAGATTTTCCTTGATATAATTAAAGATAATAGTCATATAGGTTTTTCACCCATCATCATACAGTATCAAGATTATTTTATTGACTATTAGAACGAAAAAGAGAATTTTGACAAAAAAAGTCTAGAACTTACAAATGTCCGAATGTTTCTAGGTCTTGGTCTAGTGTCAGTTCTAGTATTGCAATAGCACTATCACTAGAACTAACACAAGACCTAAAACTAGAATCATTCGGATTTAGCCGCATGTCTTTCAAGACGGCTAAACCCGAATGATTCTAGTTCTAGGTCTTGTGTTAGATTTAGTGATATTGGTAGGTAGCGCTAGTTAGCATAAGATATCACTATGTTGCATGTTTTTATTGCACTAAAACGAGAACTAACACTAGACCTAGAACTAGAAACATTCGGATTTAGCCGCACGTCTCTCAAGACGGCTAAACCCGAATGATTCTAGTTCTAGGTCTTGTGTTAGTTCTAGTGATAGTGCTAGTGTAAAACTAGAACTAACACTAGACCTAGAACTAGAAACATTCGGGTTTAGCCGCACGTCTCTCAAGACGGCAAAACCCGAATGATTCTAGTTCTAGGTCTTGTGTTAGTTCAAGTGACAGTGGTAGGTAGCGCTAGTTAGCATAAGATATCACTATATTGCATGTTTTTAGTATACTAAAACTACAACTAACACTAGACCTAGAACTAGAAATATTCGGGTTTAGCCGTGCGTCTTCAGATGCACGGCTAAACCTGGTACTTTCTGGTTCTAGGTCTAGTGTTAGTTCTAGTTTTACACTATCACTAGAATTAACACTAGACCTAGAACTAGAATCATTCGGGCTTAGCCGTCTTGAGAGATGTGCGGCTAAACCCGAATGTTTCTAGTTCCATAGATATATAATATATATTTGTATATTGTCTCTTAAATAAAATTCACTGTAGATTCGGCACATTTGTTGATTAATAGGTTGATATTGGTTTAGATCTGCTATGTTATGGGTTTTTGATGGTTTCAATTTCTATACGATTTAATTACGATTTTTAATGAGATTTCATGATGAAGTTTCAATAAGGTAAACAATTATTTTGTTTTCAATTGGTTTCGCATAAATGAGAACTAAAGAGAATCAATTCGAGTTGTCGCTTAAAATATTAAATGTGCCTTGAAAGTGTTAAAGAACATCTTGATTTAACGAAATAAAAAGTAGATTTTATTGATGAGTGAATGTTAATTTTTCGTTTAGAAAATCCTGAACTGACCCGTTTTAAGTGGGTCAATGTGCAAAAAGGAATGTTGGAAGCCTTTCAAATACTTGAAACAACACATTTAAAAAACAATTTCCTTGTAGATAAAAAAAATCAAACACTTTTTTATTACGCAACTCAATTCAAAATCATATGTATTGTTTTAAACGTTTAATACTGATAAGTGCGTTCTCAAAAGCAATCAATTTCGATAAGATTTAACGTTCGATATCGTGACGTTAGACAAAAGAGGCGATTTATTTTTAATGCTACCATAATACGCATTGTTGACGATTCGGTTAAAAAGATCTACATTCACTAAAATTACTTTCCCTGGCATTTCATTCAGATCTAATCGTTGCAAAGGATACGAAATTGACATTTTGTCTTGCCACTGTTCTAGTTGAATCGTGCTGAACTAACTTGGTAACGACACGATTTCGAATGATAGTTCAAACTTAAGAATGTAGAGATTATTTCCTTTCTATAAGAAGAAAATGTAACGATAAGTTTCGGTGTCTTGACTTTCTTAATACAAAGTTCTCTATAATTTTTATTCATTGTAATGTGCTAATTTGATAAAAAGTCGATCAATAAAAATAACTCTAAAATTTATTTAAGTCAATTACTGCAGTTGTTCAAAATTTGATCTGATAAGACTTAACTGTAATTGACGGGCTTAACTAATAATGCCTATCATCTATCGCAATAGATAGATAGATAAACATTTTAGGGTCTTAATGTTGTCAGAATGTAACGTATGTTGTTTTAAATTATAAAACCCTTTAATTGTTAATCATTAAGAATTAAATGATGTAATAATTATGTACTAATTATGCTTATCTACCGCCGCATAAGATAAGTAAAGTAAAGACTTACTTCGGATACATTAAACTCGAAATGTTCAGCGATTTTTTCGTAAAGTTCCTTGACGTTTGAAAATCCCGAAATAAATCCGGTAGGGCTCCCATGGGCGAGCTGGCAATGAAAAACCAATTGGGGTTTTCCAATAGGACTCGTGGGCTCGTTACTATACTGTTTTTGGTATGCTTGGTTGTTCTTCGTCACGTTGTTATTGTCCAGTGTTTCCATCGGGGGTACCGATGGTTGAACTTTCTTGTTCTTTTTAAACATTTTCACTTTAAAATTGCCACTATTAATTTATACAATTTAAAATTAAAATAATTATACACCAGTTTTCCCTCCGCGGACTTGAACCAAACTGAATCTAAACCTTTTTGATACACATAGAGCGTGCGTATCGAATTATCTATCCATTATCGGTTGTTATCTACTTGACAACACATTTTTTTGTTCTTACTACAATTATAATTGCGGCGAATTTTTGTTACGTTTTATACCGCACCGACACTCTACAAACACTGCTCTCGTGCTGCTATCCGATTGAGTACTGCACAAACGACGGCGTATCTACCAACAGGTGCTGGTTCCGTGCTGGATGGAGAGTATGGAGAAGGTCGGTCGTGGAGGCAACGTTCGGGTTTTGCTTCTTCCGGTGGGGCAATGGATTCGGTTCGGACCTAATTCGTGTGGAACCCGCAATTTCTTTTAATCAAGGAGGAAGTCGAGGGAATGATGATTTATCACTATAAATGAGTGGTTGTTCGTCAATGAGAATCTCACAGGAAAAATTATTATGATGAAATAAGTTGTACCTCAAGAATTTAATTAAAAAATAATCTCAAATAATTATAATTTTATTTAAAACCACACACGCGTTAGATATTAATAATTATCACCCAAAAGTTATCTAGATTTTTGTAATCTAATTTTATTCGATTCAAACGCCTTATCAGGAAAGTTTTTTTTGGTTATCCATCAAGTACAATGATTGAAAAAAATAAATTAATTTAATAAGATTGTTATGCTGAATTAAAAAAAAAACAGTATTATTAACTTTGGGTAGATTATCAATTAATATCTAAAAATTACTCATAAAGTTAGATGGAATTATTGAAAAAGTTGGAACTCATATTTAAAACAATGTTAATTTGGTATAAGATGACAGATTTAATTATTGCTTGTTTAAATTGAGTCCAAAAAGTAAATAAAACAAAACCAGTATTAAATAAGTTTATTTTAATATCAAATAAACATAAATTAATATCAATCAGTTGCTGCCACATACTTCACAAAAATCAATACATCATCTTTATTTATATACATACATTTGCACCTTAATTATTTCAAAAATTCATCTCCAAACAATGTTTTATTCACAAAATTATAATTAAACCTATTTTTGTCTTTATAAAAAAAATCAACAAAGTAGTAACAATAATAAATAACTAAATCTAATTTGAAGAATAATAATTATTTATGAAAAAGCCTTTTTGTTTGATAAATTATTTCTGGTCCATCATACTCATAATGATCGGTCCAAAACCAATTTGGTGGTTTGATTTGTTGCAATTTAAATAAAGATCCTCCCAAACACTCTTTAACCATAAAGTAAGTACATTCTCGAACATCATCACCACCTTCCCTTTTCGAATATGGAGGTGATAATATGTCTAAGAAAGCAGCTGGGCCCCCGATGCTTTCAATTTCGTGAATGTTTCTTGAAACTGGTTCTAACATACAAACGTCTGACTCATTATCCATGATGATATCAGGATCTTTTGTAGCATTTATTACACAATTATTAAGGATATCATTTACAGAGAAGCTTGTTATTCGAATTTGTCCCATTAACACTTTAACAAGACCAAACATTTGGGGATGATCATGTAAAGGGATTTTCATTCCTGGTCTTAGTATAAAAATTCCCATCGTTAATAAATCATTCTCAAATATGTTTATGTAAGAAACGGGGGCCTTATCGGGTGTAACCCATAAAGCATCCGATTTAAATTTTGGATCTAAACTTACATCAGCTGCAGTTGTACATTTTAAGAGGTTACGTAGTAATTCTAAATTAGTGGGAAAACCTTCCGTATTTGTAAAGGTATGAAGTGCTTGGCGTAAAACGTTATTTATTTGGCTCACAACCATATCTTAAGTAAACTATTTACGTTAAGTGAAGAAAACTAAAAACTGACAGCTGTCAAAAAAATAACCTAACTTCACAACAATTCAATCAAATTTAATATCAAAATTCAAATTTTTATAATAAATAGGTTTGTTATTTAAATACATTATTAATTGAGTGTAATTAGAAAATACTAATAAATTTATTATGTTAAAAATTAAATTGATTAATTTAAATTCGTTGTGGCGCCATCTATGAAGTTTTTAAATAGTCTGTTTTAAATTTTGAGGTTATACATGTGATCTAAAATAAATCAAAATATAGAAGAATGGCAAAAATAAAGAAAAAATCTCGTTCGACTGCAGAAAAGGCGAATAAAAAGGAAGTAAAAAAGAAATTAAATCCATTTGAAGTGCATGTAAATAAAGAAAAATTAAAAGTGTTAGGAAAACGGTCTAAAAATGATCGGGGTCTTCCAGGAGTTTCAAGAGAGAAAGCAATAAACAAGCGTAAACACACATTATTACAAGAGTACAAGTTACAAAATAAATCAAATAAATTTATTGATAAACGCATAGGTGAAAAAAATAAAAATTTAAATGAAGAAGATAAATTTATAGCAAGGTATGCTAAATTAAGAGCAAAAAGCGATAAAAAATCACGTTTTAACCTAGCAGACGAAGTATTAACCCATCGAGGACAAGTTTTGAGTGAAATTGAAAAGTTTGAAGATAATCATTCAGAGGATGACAGCGATGATGATGTAAAAGGGGGACTTCAATCTGATTTTGTTGAAAAAGCTCATTTTGGTGGTGGAATTTTTGAGAAAGGTACAAAAGATGGGGCTAAATCCCATAAAGACTTAATTGACCAATTAATAGCGGAATCTAAAAAAAGAAAAGCTGAAAAACAAAAATTAAAAGAGCAAACATTAGAATTAACAGAAAAATTAGACTCCGAATGGAAAGATTTAATCCCTTTGGTAAATAAAAAGACTAAAAACGATGAAATCGAAAAGCCTAAAGTGGATGATTTCGACAAAGTTATGCGAGAATTGAAATTTGAAGCTCGTGGTCATCCTTCAGATCGATTAAAATCCGAAGAAGAGATTGCTAAAGAAGAAAAAGAAAAATTGGTGAAATTAGAAGATGAAAGGTTAAAAAGAATGCATGGGGTTGATGTTACAATAAATAATAATAAAAGGCATCATGGTGCTGATGATTTAGATGATAACTTTGAATTTGAGGAGATGACTGATGCTGTATTAAGTTATGATTTTGAAGGAAAACCTAATCTTAAAATAGATAGTGAAATAAATGGGAAAAAACTAAGTGAAAATGTTGATGAAGAATCAAAAGATCAAGATGAATCTGATTCTGATAATGTTGAAAATAATGTATTAAGTGATGAAGAGGAAGATGAAGATAATTTTTCTGATTTAAAAGAGGAATCAGATGTTTCTGATGAAGAGAATTCAGATAAAGAGTTAATTGAAAGTGATCAAAATCAACATAGTTCTGAAATAGTATCTGATTTGTTGAAACGAAAAGCTATAATGGAAAAAGCTCGCGAAGAATTACCTTATACATTTAAATTACCTAAAAGTTATGAAGAATTAAACGACTTATTAATAAAAGAATCACCAGAAAGACAAAACATAATCATTGAGAGGATGATAAAGTGTAATCATCCAAGTTTAGGGGCTGCAAATAAAGAACAATTATCAACTCTTTTTATATATTTAATACAATATATAAATGATTTATCACAAAATATCAATGAAAATTGCGTTGAGACACAAACGGGGATTATTTTTAGAATTTTTTATAATTTATTACCTCACTTTTATGATTTAGCCCATTTAAATAGCGAAGCTAGCCACAAAGCAATTTTAGAAGTTATAAAAGAAAAGCATGGCGAATACAAAAAAAGTTATAAAAAATTTCCAGGACTTGAAGTGTTATTATTCTTGAAATTAATTGGACATATTTTTTCAACATCCGATTTTAAACACTCTGTTGTCACACCAAGTTTTGTATTTATTGATCAAATGCTTAATAATTGTAGAATTAGAACAGAACAAGATGTTGCGTATGGATTATTTTTATGTACTTTAGTGTTTGAGGTTAAAAAGCAATATTTTTTTATTATTTATAAAATAATTTTTTTAATATTTTAGTTCACAAAATTATCAAAACGTTATTTACCATCAACGCTTAATTATTTATCAGGAATTTTATATTTGTCAATTCCAAAAACCGGAATAAGAATTTTAAAAATTTCTCAACCCTTTAAAACATCCTCGAATTTATTGGTTCTTGTGAACAATCACAGCGAAGTGGATGAAACGGATTTGAAATTATCGGTTGAAAATTTAAGAAGAAAATCAGTAAATAGCGACGATGTTAAAATTTCATCTTTTTATTTGAGTTTAAATTTAATTGAGGAAGTTATAAGTAATATAAGTGAACTTCCCTCCAGATACGAATTATTAATTAATATAGAAAAGTATTTAAATTTAATTCCATTGAATAATTACCCGGGAAAAGTTAAAAAGAAAGCGGAAGAAGTTATTAAATTAATTAATAAAATTAAAAACGATAGAATCATAGAATATTTAACGATTGCGAAACCACGACCGAAAGCTTTAAGACTTTACGAACCAAATATTCAAAAAATGTTTGTATTTATGCTCACTTTTATATGAAATTCACTACAAACTAAAATTCAAACTACAATTTTGAAATTTCGGTAAAATAATGCTTTATTATCAACTAAGAAACGATGAAAGTTATGTTTCCTCCCCCATGGTAGTTTATTTGATTGTCAAACTGTTAAGTAGACGCCTTGTAATGCCCCCAGTGCGACGTCATCGAAATTTTGTCCATATCAATGATTTTGATAGGGGCCGAATTATCGGTATGAAAGAGGCGAGTCTCTCATTCTGAGAGATTGGGAGAGGGCTGAATCAGGACCACACTACAGTTGCTCGGATATGGTCTTCATGGTTCAAAGAAGGTATTCAGAGGCGCTAGAAGACGCACGTGAAGACCGAAGAACACAGAAGAATTTCTTCCTTTGGGCTCCTTTTATACCATCCTTAGCTTCGGCTTCCATTAACACCTCCCCATAAAGCAGCCAGACTTGCATAGTGTCAAGAACGGGTAGGGTGAGTTCAGTAATGGAATAACACCGTCTTCAGTGATGAATCAAGGTTTTGTTTATGGGTGAATGATGGTCGTAGAAAGGTGCAGCGACATCGATGGGAAAGACGGAATTTGGGGTTCGCTCAAAGACGACACGCAGCCTTAACACCTGGGGTTATGGTTTGGGGGGCGATATGTGGTGGACGAAGGTCACTCTTTACGTTCATTTCAAACAAATTAAACGCACATCGTTACATCGACAACGTTCTAGAACCGGTGTTAGTACCTTTCATGCAAACAAGGTTCCTGGGGCAAGTTGGATTGCAGATTTTGCCCTGGCCTGCACGATCACCAGACTTGTCGCCAATTGAACATGTCTGGGATATGATGGGTTGGCGACTAAGATAAGTACTCAGGCCTCCTGAGAATCTGGATGAACTTCGACACCATCTAGAAGTTGCATGGAACGAGGTACCTCAGGAGGACATCGTCCACTTAATAAAGAGCATGGGTAGAAGAGTTAATGCATGCATTGCTGCGCGTAGGAAGGCAACCCACTACTAGCTTTTTCTTGAAAAATATTAATTTTCATCGTTTCTTATAATTAGTTGATAATAAAACATTATTTTATTGAAATTTCAAAATTGTAGTCTAATTCTTAATGGGTTAATAATTAAATTTTAAATAAATAATTTTTTTTAAGATATGATGGAAGAAGGCATAAATTACAATCGAAAGAAAAATCTGAAACTGATAAATTAATTCATAAAGTGAAAAAGGAACGGAAAGGTGCTTTGAGAGAAATAAGAAGGGACCAAGCGTTTTTGGCGAAAGTTAAAATTAAGAAACAAATTCAAAGGTAATTAATAATAATGTTAAATATTAAAGGTAAATAATTTTGTAATTTTTTTTTGTAGTGATAATGAACGAAAGGATAAAGTTAAACGATTATTTGCTGAAGCTGCTATGCAACAAAGTGAACTCAATGCTTTCGATAGGAAAAAGAAAAAAAAATAAATGGTTCTATTAATTATTTTGTAATTTGACGTTTTTGAAAATATAAAAATAATTAAAATTGCAATTATTGTTTTTAATATATTTATCTCTGACCCCCTGAATGAACAAATAAATATAATAATAATAAATGCCTTTATTAATAAGTCGCAAAAAAGAAAAAATAATAATATATTTTTAGAAAATAGACTTATTTTCTGGACGAAGTTGAATTTGGTTATTAACTAACTGCTCTTCCACTTAATCCAGAATATACAGGGCTTCCCAAAACTCCCGGGACTAAAAAATTTGACTATCAAAATTACAGCCTGATTTCCAAGACTAAAATAATGATGTTTAGATGCAAGTATATTATAATTTATTGTATTCTAGAATTTCTCAGAAATGTATATCTTTTATAATATGTTGAGTTACTCTACTTCCAGCTAATAGGTTTGTTCCAACCAACGGTTTGACTCGTCGTGGACACGTCAAATGCAATCGCACAGTTAAATAATGCAATGAAATCCGCTGAAATGTGACGACATTACTTTACATGTGCGATTGCATTTGACGAGTAACGGACGAGTCCGACCGCTTGTTGGAACAAACCTAATATCAACACAATAAATGTTTTAACAAGATTTTTAAAACAATTTTTTTTAATAATTATTTGAACACAATCTTTTTCCACAAATTACAATATTTCTGACACAATCGCATTCGTTTTTCAACCAAATCCATCCTCTCGCTATTCCAAGATTCCAATTTTTTACTTCCCATTTCCACAATGAATTGTAAAGCATACAATTTTTGTTGTTTTTCAAAAATACACCTTGCATTTTTTAACTCTTCCCTTAAATTATTTTCCCTTCGAACGTAATTTTTCCATTTTAAAAAATTTACTTGCAAAATTATTCGGTTAATTCTCTCAGATTTTTCTTTCTTATTTAATGTATATTCTTTTAATTTTTTTAAATGTTTCTTCTTTAATTTTACCTTATAAAATGAATTAATTTCTGTAATTTTGAGTTTTAAACATCGTTTTCGTTCAGTAAATTTTAACCAGTTTGTAAATGTTAATTTTAAGAAGTTATATTCTTTGTGTTTTATAAAGTTTTTTAATAAATCGTTGTTGTAAATGGTTTTTATTATACAACTCGATAAATATTTTAACCATATTTTAAAACATTTCTTTTTAATTTTTTCGTTATAGAAATTAATTGAGTTTAATAATAATAAATTTTTATTTCTTTTATATGAAATGTATTTTTTTATTTTAACAAAATATTTTTTTAAAATCGATTTTTTTACTTTTTCATTCATATAATTAATGATAAAGTATTTCTTTTTGCGCCATTTCGAATAATTATACAGATTTATCAAAGATAATTCTTTTAATCCATTTTCATAAAATCTTATTGCTTTTATCATTAAATTTCTTTTATTTTTTTTATGATGGCAATTAATCATTAATTTTTTTAAGCATTTTCGAGATATTTTTCTATCACAAAAACTTTTAATATCCTCTAATTTCCTTATTTTTTCACTTTTATATGCACTATACCTCAATAATTTATCGAAACTCTTTTGAAGCAATTTCGTATGATAATATTCATCTGTAGCGTTTAAAATAGATTTCTTCTTCATTTTATTTTCAACATAAATCTTCCAATTATCAAAGAATTGTTTTAAAATGGTCTCAACATCAATTTTTTCTTTAAGATATTCTTTTAAAACCAGCTCATTTAATCGTTTTCGTTTTTTATTAACACCAAAAAGATACCAAGTTTTAAAAACGATTTTGTAGGCTCTCATTTTCCATTTCGATCTATAATAATTCGTAATTAAAAAATCTCTTTTGAAATGTTTGAATGTCTCGTAATAAAGATACACTTCTAAAATCATCGAATTCAAAACGAAATTTTCCATTAAACATTTCCCCAAAACTCGGTAACATTTCATTTCATAAATTCGATCAAAAAATAATCGATAATAAATCTTTTTTAACTTATTATTGTAATGCGTATCTGCGATAACTTTTTGAATCCGTTTTATTTTTGATTTTAACAATAAAAGTTGAAGTATTTTAAAAGCGTTCGCTTTTAATCGAAATTCGTAATGGATTTTTGCTCTCACTTCTAGTTTTAAAAACAGATATGAGTTTGTGGTTACTTTTTTCCATATCATAAAGTATTTTCTTAAAATATTCTTATGCATTATTTATTTATTGACTTTTTTTATTGAAAAAGTCATTTATTTGTTGCCTTAGATTTAAAATTTGAAACGTGAGCCCACTTTTAATAAAAATAAAGGTGTTATGAAAGAAAATAATGCACATTCAACATTTTTCAGTATCTAATTAATGAAGAAAAGCAAGTTATATTGTATCACACCAAAATATATACATTACATTTTTGTATAAAATTGCAAATCCTACATTAAATGTGTAATTTGAGTAAGGCACATCAATCAACATTAATATTTTAAGCCTAGTTTTATAAACGTTTAATGAGAGATTTATAAAACCAGGCCTTAAAATGTTTACTTTTTTATTAATAAATTGTATTATGGCCATATTATATGAAAAGTTATGGCACTTTATGATGGCTTTTTAACTTTATTAAAATTAAATTTAACTTACAATTAATTATTATAATCACATAAACGACAAGGAACAACGTTTGCTTAATTAAAAGTGTCCACATTAAATTAATTAATAATTTGTACTAAATATGATGTTAATTAATAGTCATTTTTATGTAAATTTGTATTAATTTGGACACTTAAGATCTAATTTAAAAATACTTAAAATTAAAACAAATAATATATAGAATAGTTGACCCCTTCTGATTGTCCATTTCATTTCCAAATCTTTTAAAATTAGTGAAAAGCATCTTAGTAAAATAAAATTACTTCCTATTTATCTCACATAATACCCATAAAATTAAAAAAAAATTAACTTTGGTAACCCCAACATTTAAAAAAACAAACTGGCACAAAAATATAAAAAAAATTTGTTTATAACTCGTCTTTACTTTCATTTGCAATAATACCGGAATCTTCGGTATCACTAATATAACCTTTTTCGCCTGTGTAATGAGTGGGAAAGACCAATAACGGCGCAACAGAAAACGCGATTAAATCTCGTTTAGGGAAATGAATTTTCCATTTCTCCGTCGGATGTTTATCGAATAAAATCGGTAAATATTCATCGACGGGTAATAATCTCGATAAAGGATCGGCGTCCAATAATTTTTTGGCCCCTTGAAAACTAAGAACGTAACCCAACGTCCAATATGAGTAACCCACTTTTACGAGATATTTAGAACCGGGTATCCATGGTTCGTCTACATCTTGGAGACGTTTCCTTCCAAAATAACTAACAAAAAGAAGATGTAAATTACAAAAGAATTGTTTTAAACATTTTAATACTTACACTAAATCCCAATTACCAAGTTCTTTTAATTCCTGCATTAAGTTAATAACTTTAGGTCGAAAAAATGGTTCAAAACGGATATCATCTTCAAGAACTAACACTGATTGGTAATTATTTTCGACTATCTATAAAGAAAAACGCGAAGATTAAAAAATATTAAATAAATAAATAATTACTTCTTTCCAAATTTGATAATGACTTAAAAAGCATCCGATTTCACCAAAAGTCATTGGCCTATAACATAAAAATTTAATAAAACTATTTAATACAGTAATAAATTTAAGTTACCTCTTATGATATGGATCGGAATAATTAGGCAAAAATGAAATACGCTTTAAGGCAGTTTCATTTAACGCCCTGAAACATTAAACCAAAAACCATAATAAATCCCCCATAAAAATTAAATCCAATTAATTTTTTTTTAATTTCTTACTTTCCATCGACGGCGTCCAAAACGCTAACGTCCAATCCCAACTCGTCAAAACAATGCATCATTCGTTTCCTTCGTTCCGGTCTCCTTCTCAAATTAATCATATAAATTTTATCAAAACCCAAAGTATCCTTTTCCGGAATTGACGTAAACTCCTCAAGCAATTCGTTCACAAATAAAGGTTCTCCATAACTCAAAACTTCTAATTTAATATTTTTTAATTGATGATAATCATAAATTAATGTATCAAATTCTTCTAATGGTGTTGTTAAGAACCCAAATTGGTATTCGTTGCAAAGATGCATTTCAATACCACTTTTATTAGCGCTTATTGCGAATGTTATGATATCATCGTGAGGTCCGTTGTAATTCTTTAAGTTTTCTTGGACGTAAGTTAATCGATCCGATTCGTGATTACGTAAATCGATTAAAACGCAAGTATGCACCATAGGAACATGAAAACAACCTTGTTTTTCACGATTATAAACTGGCTTATATTCGTCCGTTCGTAAATAATAATAATCTTCGGTCATTCCATACCAAAAGTTGGAATACAGACCATCCGAACGTAACATTGGGGCTACAATTTGAAGATTTTTCGAGACTAGATAAAGCAAAGTATCAGGGTTTGTTAGAAAAACATCACAATCAATAGCTAGTAGATAATCGGCCCATATATTCCTTGCATGATTTAAAGCATCTTCTCGTAATGATATAACATGATCAAAACGAAATTGTGACCAATGTGATGGACCCGATTCATCAGTGTAACTCTCATCGTCTATAATTTTTAAATCAACTGAATGATATAAAGTATCAATGGAATTTACCCATTTTTGTAAAATTTCTGCTGTTTTATCTATGTTATGATCACTTCGAATTCTGTAAAAAGAATTCATTAATTAAGAATCATTAATTATGAAACTACCATGCACTTGCATTGTCCCACATCAAAGGCAACATAGCTTAAAAGTACAGGCATTGGGTAGTTTTGAAAAGTAAAAGTTTTGCTTGGAAAAGGTGACGTCCTTATGATAACTCCGTCTTCAGAAACCCGAAACTTTCTAGTTCTAAGTCTGGTGTTAGTTCTACACAAGTACTATTACTATGTAGAATTAACACCCGTTAATTAGCCGTCTTTAGAGACATGCGGAACTAACACTATACCTAGAACTAGAATCATTTGGGTTTAGACGCACGTCTCTTAAGATGGCTAAACCCGAATGATTCTAATTCTTGGTCTAGCGCTGCATAACCATTAAAACTAGCTGCTTCAGACAACATAGTAATGTTTTTTGCTAACTAGCGCTACCGAATGTTTCTAATTCTAGGTCTATTGTTAGGTCTAGTGCTAGTGTTAGTCTAGTTTTATTTGTTATTCAGCACTAGATTATTGTATAGTTTTATTGAGCTATAACGGACACTGCGTTCCGGGTATTGAGGTTTTACTGTAATATCAAATTAAATTGATATGTTGCATTTTATGAGGGACAAAGTAAGTACTTACATAGGTACGCCTTAGTTTCTATGGAAATATATTTTAGTATATTGCATCTTAAGTGAAATTCACTGTATTATTGTATATTTTCAATGCATATTTCAAATATTTATTGACATTGACATCTTTAAAATAAAAGAAGAAGTAAGTGAAGTTAGTTAACTAATGTATGTAGTTAACAGGTTTCAATTAATATTAACTAAAAACTAATAATTAATAATAAACCAATTTCAAATTCAAAATTTAATATCGCAAATAAATTAATAATATAAGAAGAATATTATTAAATGTCATTATTAAATTTCTAAGTTTGACTTGTGAAAGCAGCAATGCCAACCTCAAAAATGTAACCTTAATGTTTACACTAATTGTAAGTAAAATACAATGTTTTAATTTAAAAGTTTTGATTATAATAATAAAAATAACATTACATTCAAAAATTGAATTATTATTAATTAAATTTTCAAATCTTAAAAGTATTATAAGCCAATGAGGTGTCAGATATAATTATCTAATGGGCGTGGTCACACCTGCACGTGTAATATGATAGAAAAACTATGAAAATCAATAAATATTCATAATAAATCGAATTATTTTAATACAAACCTTAAAGAAATCCGATTCTTTGGATAATGTAACCTTTCAAGTAAAGATAAAAAGTAAGGCAACGTGTGGGCTTTATTTCTTGCTAAAACGCTTATTAAAACCGTCGGTAACTTAACCTCAATCGATTCGACCGAAAAAATCGAAAAATAAAATAAAATTATTATCCCAAAATTTCGTAACCCCCACATAATTAATATATTATGTTCTTGTTATTTATAACTACTCATAAAGCGGCACTTAACACATTTTCGAACGCTAGTAACGTAGGAATAAAAACAAGTAGGCTTGGAAATTTTAATGCTTCAAGGTTTTGTTGACATTCTCTTTTGGCGGGAAATCCAAATTAAAAAATTTTTTTTTCGTATAAAGTTTATTTAGTTAATTTCTTTTTGATCATTAGGAACATCTTGAGTTAACAATTTTTTCTTTTTTTGTGCGTAACTTAATTTTTCTTTAATAAATTCTAAATTCATGATACCCAAGTCACCGCTATAACGATTTTTGGCGATTTGTATAAATTTTTTACCCCGCAACATGTTTAAACGTTGATCTTGGATGATGAGAACGTTATCGGCTTCTTGCGTCGCTTTCGCCCCGCCAAATATAGAACTTGTCGTTAAATCTTCGGAAACTTTTTCTTTCCTGGGGTGTATTACTAATGTTACGTGACAATTTTTTTTTGTCGCGAAATTTCTAACTGCGGCTACGATTAAATCTTGTTTCCAAAAGCGGTCCATCGTTTTTGAATCTTCAGTCATTCCCATCATAAATTGGAGATTATCGATTATTACGTGTGATATATCGTGAACGTATGTTGCATGCTCAACAGCCTATAATTAAAAATGTTAGGTTATAAAAAAATTAATTTCGTTTTTTTTACCTCCATAACAATTTTAATTGATTGTTGACCATGGAATGTCATAAAATAAACTGGTAATTTTTCGAATTTGTCTGCCCAAAAATCAAATTGATCGAGGTGTTCATCCAGTTGTATTCCAGCGTATTGTTGCAACATTGTCCTTGCTAATCGGGCGTTTCTAATTTCAAAACTACCCCATAAAGTATTTACCTTTATAATCGAATTTCAATGTAAAGATAAAAGTTTGGAAGAAAATGTAAAGAACTTACACCTTGCATAGCTAAATCTAATGAATATTCACTGATAAAGGTCGTTTTTCCGCATCCCGTGGGTCCAGTTAATATCGTCAGTTCACCTTTACGATGTCCTTTTAATATTTTATTTAACGTCGGAAATCGTTTCCATTTAACTCCTTGAACCTGAAGTTTAAGGTTTATTTTAAAATATAGTTTCACAATCATTCAAATGGTTGGTGGTGGCTCAGTAGTTAGGTCCTTCGCACATTGAGCAATACGAAATCACTCCAGTATCGCTTCTAATGTAAGTGAATGGAAATCCACAAACGGGGCGATATGAGAGCAATCTGTTGGCGATATTGAAGATGCGTGCGATATAAGCAACTCGTGCAACCTGCAATGAAGTCGCTAGTGGATGAATGTTGCTTATATTTCCTGTAAAAATGGAGGCGTTTAGAGAGAGTGCAGAAGGATGTACCCGATTGGGCCTAGGTGTTGTATGCGGAAGCATAACCTCCCCTTTCCTACATACATACACATACATGGAGGCGTTTAACGTAAAATTTGTAGGGTGTGTGGAACAACATCGCTTTTTATATGATTTTACGTTAGAAGATTATGCGCGGAAGGATAAAACGGAAAACACGTGGAATTTGGTGGCAGAAGTTACCTTTCCAGGTATGTAACAAAACATTTATGTTTATTTGTAAATGGTAAGTAAATAACATTATTAAAAATATTATAATAAGTAGTAGATGGAATAATTTATTAGCTCTTTATAACTTATAACATATTTAATTTTACACAAAATATTTCCGTTGCCATGGAAGAGATGCTTGCGGCTTTAAAAGATAACTTGCCAAATAGTTTCTAACCTCAAAACCTGCTGATGCACCATTCACCATGCTTATAGTAGAAGCCACACAGGGAGGAATGTTAGGAGGAAACAATTTCAATGTTTTCTTCTTCGTTTCGAAATGTGTATTGACATCCCTCTCTTTTGCGTATGAGGTTGTGGTAACATTAACTTTGGTAACATCTCTGCTACGTATGGGTGTGTTTAGCATTTGAAGAGGAAGTAATGTATATAAAAATTCTAAAAGAACAGAGGAAATTGTCCCTGAAACTGAAACTATTGAACGTCCCGAATCTGAGGATGATGCCTTTTTGTCTCCCTTTCTATCACCACTATTACTACCAACTCCAACATATCTTGCATCTACATCTTTAGTACCACAACATTCTCTGTCGGAAATCAGCAAACAGCCTGATAATCCTGAACCACAACTGCCCGAAATTCTTCCGGCTGCGAGAAAACAATGTAGTAAAAAAAGAAAATCCTGTACTTCTGAAAACGATGTCGATAAAGCAGTCGCAGAATATTACGTTGCGAAAAAAAATCACTTGGATCTAAAGACGGAAGGAAAGAGGGACTTTTAGACTTTTTCAACAGCATTGTCCCAACATCTTGCCACTGACTGATGCTCAAATAAGATTGTTCAAGCGAAAAACTTTCGTTTTAATTGGTGAGATAATAAGTGTTGTTTGCAGCCCTAGTCACTCTTCTATTCCTCAAAGATTTCCATCCGAAATAGCGTCCCTCTCGTCCAAATAATGAATATAATCCTCCTTTAACTGCTGAACCTCAACTAGAAACGAACGCTTTTCAGTACCGTCAGTTATAATCTTAATAGAGATGTACATATTATATTTATTTTATCTATATTGTATAACAAGGCTTGTTTTGATCTCTGAAATATATAAGAGTGTTTTGACAAAACAGCATTACCTTAATGTAATTAAAATCCTTTCTTCAGCAGTGACACATTCCCTCATGTATCATGTAGAATGCAAGGCATTTGTATCACATTCTTGCAGTTGCCACGAACAACCCACATCTTATGTTTCGCTCGTTATAAGGATGAACCTGTTTCTGTTTCTTCTGTACCGATACAAATACAACATTTCTTCGTCGCTTGATGCACTCGACATTTTTACGCAATAGGACGCACAAGTTGACTGTTTAAAATGCTCCCCTAGTTCCTCAGATCACCAATGTTACCAATATCACAAGTATCGCCAACATCGCTTTGCAACTTTTTACTGTTTTCGTATTGCTCCGTGTGCGGAGGCCTTTAAACCATATTTTCCATATGTTTATTGAACTATGGTTATGCAGTGCTAGACCAAGAATTAGAATCATTCGGGTTTAGCCGTCTTAAGAGACGTATGGCTAAACCCAAATGTTTCTAGTTCTAGGTCTAATGTTAGTTCTAGTGACAGTGCAAAACTAGAACTAACACTAAACATACAATTAGAAACATTCGGATTTAGCCGCACGTCTCTCAAGACGGCTAAACCCGAATGTTTCTAATTGTACGTTTAGTGTTAGTTCTAGTAATAGTGCTAATGCAAAACTAGACCTAGAACCAGAAACATTCGAGTTTAGCCATGCGTCTCTTAAGACGGTCCAAAAACTCAGGGTTATCATAAGGACGTCACCTTTTTCAAAGCAAAACTTTTCCTCTGCAAAACTACTCAATGCCTGTACTATTAAGCTATGTTGCATTTCATGTAGAACAGTGCATAGTAGTTTCATAACTATGGTTACTGCATTCATATATTGCGAGTTATATGAAATTCCCAGTAAAAATGAAAACGTAGAAATGACAATTCTCCAATGACTTCATAGCAAGGCCTCTGCGGGGGGATATGTTCATAACAATAGCGTTCATAGGGAGTTGGGTAACCTTATGCAGTATGTTTACTCAACCGACCTTGGTCGTAATCACCCATGTGATTCACACAAGGCTGAATGCAGGGTTGATGAGCTTTGCTCCACCTTACTTCGAGGGGGTCAGCGAGGGAGTGGTATCTTTGAGCGGCACCTGACAGGGGCGAACCCGCACTGGTGTCTGTGCTCAGCACACCTGGTGAAGGGGCGTGTCAGTCTGGAAGCGAAATCAGCCAAAAATCGAGATACGCTCATATAATACCTCAGACCTTTTAGAGGAGAATGTACAAGGGTCCCATTGGGGCGTAGGTGCCGCGTATAGAATATGTACTCCCTGTACCATATATACATACATACATACATGGTTGGTAAAAGGGTATCAGAATCAGCATGGAATGCTGATTAGTAAGCTACACAAAGCCATAACACAATCAACTCAAGACATTATACAAACCATACTTTATCAATATTTTGTAGATCAGAAAACACATCTTCACGCAAACTAGAAAATGTTGTTATTGATTTATGTACAATTGGTTGTGCTGAACTAATAATGGCTTTAAAATCTTGTTCAGGAGCTAAATGAGGTAGTTGGTGCTGATCTGTTGGTCTAAAATATATATTCCCATTAAAAAAATTTTCTGAATCATATAATTCAAATTAACCGTATGAAAAGGCATCGTTTTTCGCCAAGTTTCTTAGCAAAAGTCCTCGCAGAATCCCATGATTCCACATCATTTCCAAACCAAAGTATCAACTTATTAAATCTTTCTAAGCTTGTCAAAACAAACTGTGAGATATTAATTAAGCCATTTGGAAGACAAATTACATTAACTGATGGTTTATGATTAACAAGAATTAAAAAATCTGGAACGTTTGCAACAACTACCGCGGTTTCTTTCGGTCTTAATTTAGCGTATAAAATGCCTGTACACGTTTGACTAGGTTCAACTTTGTATTTATTTGAGATTACATTTAATACTTTGTAACCGACCGTTTCTTGGTCTGCATTATCCAATTGGAAGTATAAATTTTCATGTTTATTATCGATACGAATATTGATTGTATCTAAAATTTTATTAGATACTTGCTGAAAAATAAATTAAATTAATAATTGGTTTATTAATGAGTTATTTCTTACAGGTAATTTAAAAGATTCAAAAATATTCAAAAAATCACTTTGTGAAAGTGATTTTATATCATTGGTATTGGTTTGTGTTTTTTCCAAATAATTCTTTATTTTATCTTGCTCACAACATGCACCTAAAGTCACAAAATCCTTCCTGTTCAATGCATTTAATTTTTTTCTCTTACTATTTATATTTTTTTTTAAACCCTCCTCGAGTGTTCCCCATTCTCCACTTAATTTACATTTTGTACATATAAAAAAACCTAGAAATTAAATAAATTGTTATTGGTGTTATAGGTATTACAACACAAGACATAACCTCAACTTCTGTTTAATACTTAAATACCTGTAATTTTATTTATGTAAAGATGTCTTTTAGTATCAACATTACACACTGAACATTTAGCCAAATAACATGTATAACCTTCCTCAAACGATACATTATTTCCATTTAACACTTTCTTTATTTCACTTGAGGTTATGTGAGGCGTATCATCGAGAGCTATGTTGTTTATATTTCGATAAAAGATTCCAGGGATTTGTGGCAAACGCAACTTTGAAATTGACTTAGTTTTAATAAATAGTTGTTTGAAAAACATAACTTAAGATATTTAAAAGTTGTAAATATAACCTTCATTTAGATATTTGAGAAAAAACAAATTAACCTTAAAAGAAACCAAACCATGCCGGGTAATGTCAAAAATGATTTAAAAATGTCAAAATTCTATAAACAAACTTAAGAAAGAAAAATCCAACATTTGTTAGAAAAATAATTTAAATTCGCTTAAAATTAATATTTAAATATTATATTATCAAATAAAAACCATTAAAATATAATAAAATAAAAATTATTAATTGAGTTGATCTCAATATTTTTAAAAAGTTAAGTTGGTACCTACATATATTGACATTTTGACGTATAACCTAAAAACTTTTGTAGTTCTTTATACCATGTGATTTTCATCAAAAGTAAAAATGGTACGACATAATAATCAATTACCGCATAATTTACCCCAACTACAAAATTTAATAAAAAGAGATCCCATCTCTTACAAAGAAGAATTTCTTCAACAATACCAGCACTTTCAAAACACAGTGGAAGTTTTTGAGTTTTCCCCACAACTTCCCAACAAAACCTTGGAAGAATCTTCGATGTTCATCGCGCAAGTCGCTCAATGTTATCCCGAAGAATTAAGAAACTTTCCCCAACAACTTATCTCTTTATTAGAAAAACATGGCACTGTTTTGGATAGTCAGGTTCGAATGCAAATTTGTAAAGCGTTGATTTTATTGAGAAACAAGTTTTTATTGGAAGCAATTGATGTATTTACTATATTTTTTAAGCTATTGCATTGCCAAGATAAGGCATTGAGATCATTTTTAGAAACCCATATCATAACAGATATTAAAAATACTAATGCAAAGAAGAAAAATGCTAAATTAAACACTGCTCTACAGAATTTTATGTTTACAATGTTAAAAGATTCAAATACAAAAGCGGCTAAAATGTCCATTGATATTATGATTGAGTTATACAAAAAGAATGTTTGGAACGATACAAAAACGGTTAACGTTTTAGCTTCTGCATGTTTTTCTAAAATCACTAAAGTTATGGTTGCATGTTTAAAGTTTTTTCTTGGAAAAGATGAAGAAGAAAAATCAGATGATTCCGATTCGGAAGAAGAAATAAACCCAAAAGAAGTCATGATGGCGAATAAATTTAATAAAAAAACTCGAAAGCGTGGTAAACAACTTGATAAAGTCAAAAAACTCGCTGTAAAACAAAAAAAGAAGAAAAGTCGAGCCCCAATTTTTAATTTTTCAGCTTTAATGTTAGTTCATGACCCTCAAGGGATGGCAGAAAAATTATTTAAACAATTAGAATCATCAAATCAACGTTTTGAGGTTAAATTAATGATGTTAGATGTTATTTCTAGACTAATAGGTCTCCATAATTTATTTTTATTGAATTATTACCCATATTTACAAAGATTTATGCAACCACATCAACGAGAAGTAACAAGAATCCTTCAATTCGCCGCACAAGCCACTCATAGTTTAGTTCCCCCTGATGTTTTAGAACCACTTCTAAAAACGATTGCAAATAATTTCATAACAGAAAGAAATTCTTCTGATGTTATGGCAATTGGATTAAACGCAGTCAGAGAGATTTGTGCGCGATGTTTATTTGCTATGAATGAGGATTTATTACAAGATTTAATTCAATATCGAGTATATAAAGAACGCTCCGTCATGATGGCCGCCGCCTCTTTATTACAATTATATAAATTAAATAAACCAGAAATGTTACGAAAAAAAGATAGAGGGAGACCAACAGAAGCCATTGGAGAATTAGTTCCAACGAGTTATGGAGAAATTAACGTCAAAGATTACGTCCCAGGGGCTGAGGTGCTTTTATTAGAAGATAAAAAAGGGGATGATATTGAAATTAATTCAGATTCAGACTCAAATGATGATGAATGGGTGGATGTTAATGGTTCTGATGATGAAATTGGAGAAGAAGAAGACTCAGATGATGATTTAGACGAAAATAATGGTGATGATGATGATGAAAAAGTTGTAAAAGATGCGAAAAGTGTTAATAAGAAATTAACAAAAGAAGAAATTTTGAATCGAAAAAAAGAAATGGCACAAAAAGCCACTTTAGAAAGGATTTTAACAGACGAAGACTTCAAACGAATTGAAATTGCTAATATTCGCAAACAAATTCAACCAACTTCAAAAGGATTAAAAAGAAAATTAGAAGAAACGGGAACCGAATCATCAGATTTGGTAAAATTGGGTGACATTGAAAATATTTATAAGAAACGAAAACACGATAAACAAGCAAGAATTGACAGTGTTAGGGCAGGACAACAAGGGCGTGAAAAATATGGATATAAAGATAATCGGTTGAATATTCATTGTTCAAAAACTAATCGCGAAAAAAGGAAAACCAAGAACTTTATGATGGTTAAACATAAAAGTAAAGCGAAGGTCAAGAGGAGTTTTAAAGATAAACAAATTGCGTTAAGAAATCATTTATTAAAAGTTAAAAGAATGAAATGATGTTGTGAGGAATAATTAATAAAAAAATTTACAAATTTATTGTTTTGTATTAATTTTATAACAAACTCATATAAATTAAACAATATAAATATACAGGGTGATTCATATAAGAACTGACACAGAGCTGGGATATGTAGAGGACAATAAATTAAGATGATTTAACGCAGCCCTTTATTTATAGGCCTTTAAAGTTGGCACTTAAAATTTTAAAATGTTTAATATCTTTGTAATACATTAAGCTAGAAAAACCAAATTTGGTATAGGTTATGAGTGTACCAAGGGTATTAATTGGTAGCAAATTGAACTCAATTGAGGCATTTCAAAGGGTTGATTAAGGGTGAATTTTCACAGATTTTTTTAACCTTTTGGCAGATTTAATACATTACTACATCATTTCATGTGGAATTTAATTCTAAAACTTTTTTTACTCTTATTATTTTTTAAAAAACTTTGTCGTTTTCATAAAAAACTTAAATAACTAAAGACACTTATTTCGTAATTTTACTTAAAATAAGCGTCTTTAGTTA